CGGTACACAGCAAAAATGTTAATACTTTTGTAAGAATAAATTTATTCTATTGGATTTTTACTTCGTAAGTTAAAAATACGCGTTTACCTTTTGTACGCCCATATTTCTGTCTTATCCGCTGACTGTTAGCTGATAAAGAATGTAAGTACTTTATTAATTTTACACAAAACTAATACTTTTCCCATTGAGACCAGCAACGTAAGCAAAGCTGTACCTGGACGCAGATCTATTGTTATAAGAAACCCATAAGGAGACAATTAAGACAATGAAACAATAAAATTACAGAAGATGGAAAACAAGAAATTTCAATATCTTATTGTCAGATCCCCCGAGTTTTCGCTAACATTTCAGTTGTAATAAGAAAACTTGGAGTATTTTTGATGGTACGACGGAAAATATGAACCCGGGCTTCCTACAGGTGTAACATTTTAACTTCCGTCAAAGTCTTCCTTTGTGATTTTCAAGATAGTTCTCAAGGACTCAAAATATTTGAGTGCTCAAGTATCCATCAGGTTAAGATATCTGAGCATTCTGATATTCAAAGGACGAAAAAAATGGAAAGAATTATTCTCTTTCCACGCACAGCTTCGAGACTCCTAGTCTGAAATTCAGCGGAACAATCCTCCGTGCAAAACAGAGCAAACGTCCTTCAATCATCGGCCCTATCAAGTACCGCCAAACATGCAGAAAATGTCAACTTTTAGTCCAAGACGTGCTTGCAGATCTCGTAGCACTGCTCTATCCCAACACGACTTAGGGGCTTTTTATTAATTAATACCATGTGCTCAATTGTTGGGATGTTGTTGAGGAAATAGCTTCTCTTTTAAGGGCCAAGTGGAAGCTTTTAACCTACATAAATAATACAGCCTCTGCGGAATAACATATTACTAAAGGCAAAACACACTGACAAAAGTTTGTACAATCTCGTTCTATTAAGAATACTTTTGCTGCTTGAATAATTTCTAAAATCACAATAGTGGCTCCTTTCTGATCCAGTTTTCTCATGCAGCGACTGAAAGCCACTGAATTGCTTTGACTTTCCTTAGACAGGTCGATGCAAAAAAACGAGAAAACGACTGACACAGCAATTTGAAGCTTTATTACAACCAGTAAAAACAAAAATAGAAAAAAAAAACAAAAAAAAGTTCCTGGACATGAAATCGCGACATTTGTATTCTAATATGATCTAATTGTGTGGACTCTAAAGAACTATGTAACCGAAATTGCACCTGAATTTCTCCACAAAACTTCGTCTTTGGGCTTGTTTGAAGCCAAATGAGGGAAGAAAAGAGAGATGAATTAAATACACGTAATAATTTGATACTGAACGCCTAAAAGTTCTTAAAACCTAAGGGTTTTCATATAATTATAAGCCAGGGAAGTTAATTTACTTATCAATCGGTACAAGTCTTCATACTGAAAGTCGAGAGAATAGCAAACTGTACAAACTCATGATGGACCATTGTTCAGTCTGGATCAAGATAACAACGAGCTGTTCCATTCTCTGTTGAATAAAAGCAATTTCAAAGCAAGGATCGCACACATGAGAAATTCCACAAAAAATCTTCAGAGGTTACTGCACCGTTAGCCAGTCCACCCTCCCGCATTTCACCTTTGGTGTTCTGACTGATCCTTAGCAGAGGTCGACTGCTTAGAGAAAGGTACAGGAGGAGGCTGTTGATCTTCAGATTTCTCGTTGTTCGAAGCCATAAGCACATCCTCTACTACATTCATTGGTGGCAAAGAACTAGCGTTTTCTACATCCACGTCATCAGAAGCTGCTGACACCTTTGCCATTTTTACCGCACTTGTCATTCCTTTCTGAAAAAAATGCGATTTTTAAGAAAAAACGACTAATTTTACGAAACACACCAAAAAATAGAAATATTTCCTTTTAAGTTAGTCAATGCACTTTGGAGATACAAAACAATCAAACTACTAGCAAAAAAGTACTCAGCAGCAAAGGTTTTTTGAGTAAAACTATTAAGAAAAAGGCCCGGTCGTTTCAATAACACGAAATTTAGAGCACTTACAATAATACCCAATCTCAATGTTCTGCCTCCGACTTTACAATATCACTATAACCCTCAGCAAACGAACGGTAAGCAAAAAGCAGAGCCAAACTTATTTTTACCAAAACTACCTTACCAACCGAGGGTAGTTAAAAAACCGCAAAACTAATTGCTATTTAATGTAATAACACCTATATTATAAAAAACCTCATCTATTTAAAAAAAATTACTTCATTTGAACTATCCGCCTCAGCAGACTGCAGCGGGGCTTGAAGAGAAGCATTTGGACCTGTTCTTACACTGCCAAGGATCCGTGATAAGATACTCCTTGCCCCTAAAAAACATCATCTTACTTTTAAGCACTGTAAAGAGCCGCATTTAAAGTGAAAGTAGTGAATAATAGAACAAAAACAATAAGTATAAAAGTACCTGAAGAGTTGGAAGATGTTGAACCTGTATTTACTCTCTCTCCATAATCATCTGAAACTCGCAGCTCTCAGTGTCACTGCTCTAACAAAGCTTAAAGCCCAAAAATGATTAAACATCTCACAATCTAGTAAAAACAGCGTACCATAAACTGCAGAACATTTCCCAAACCCAAGATCATCACATCCCCCCTGAGCTGGACGCCGCCTTGGTCCTTTGGTTACAGAATCAGACTGTCCAACACAGATTTGTGCTTCGTGTAAAGCAGCATGCAAGACAGTACCGTTGGCATATTCTGACAGAATCCGATCTAGTTTCAAAGCTCTAGGCAAATAAGATTCATCAAAAAGTAAATAACAGCTAATACGAAGCACAATAACTTACCAGTTAAAGATGCTAATCAATGAAAAAGCAAGTAAAAGCTAAATCAGTACTAACTTTCGATAAACATCGGCCCTCCTATTACCCCGTTTGGCATACAAAACCTTGTTGTATGAGTCGATTCGAGCCGAGATGGCCCCACTCTCAATAAGTTCAACTAATTCGTCTTCTAGCTGAAAAACCCAAGTTACTACAGCTTTCCAAATAAGTGTAAAGAGATAATTAAGAAGCAATGAAAATACTTCACCTCGTCAATAGTAACTCGGAATACAGATGCCATTTTCCGAATGTCTGCAGCAGCAAAAGGGATAAAATACTGCACAATAGCACGCCGCCTGATTAAACGATAAATTGTTTTCAAATGAGGTGAAAGATACAAATTCAATAACAATTGATCACGAATCTGAAAGGAACCATTTTTCAAAAAGTGAACAGCTAAAGTGGAAAGCAAAAACTAATACAAAACAAATAATAGGATTATAGATAACAAAACTTTGCAAGAAACTCAAAGACCAGTTACCTCTCCCATGATATCTAGGCATGGACCAAAAGCACCACGTACGAATTTCTGTAGAAGTTCAATTAATTTCGGTTCGGAATCCAAAAACTTTCTAAAGAGAGAACTACCCAAAACTTTCGACTTGAGGTCCGCCCGATCAAAAGTTGCCAGGGCGCAAAGTGTACCATAAACAGCTATATCCTTAGCCGAAATAAGTTTAGGATAATTAAAGTAGCTCAGATCAATCTGAAAGCTGGAAATGTTCTTTGAAAACGCATAAGATTACTGTTTAACTTGTGCCTAAATACTAAAAAAACCGACTTCTGAATTTTTAAGAAATTTGTATTCCTAACTCACATAATGTTACTGCAATAAAAAAGAAAAATATTCGCTAGCCCAACCATTTGAAGCAAAACTAATATATTAAAACTAAAAAAATTTGAGAAAACGTAAATTACGATATATCGGTTCTGGCAATACAGGCTGATGTCGTAAATGCTAGTAAATGCCACCATAAATAACAAAAAAAACTTTTATAACTTTCTGATTAACAGGATTATTATGAGCATGATGATTTAGTAGTCTATTAAACCTTTGACACCTACTTTCTTTACTGGCATATTTTGCAATACCAAATTTATAAATTTTTTTATCTAGTAGGTTAAAAAATATGGCATGAAATACCGTTAAGCACTTTTCTGCAACTAATTTATAACTCTTCATGTAAAGCCGATATAACGCAAAGATAGCAGCGACTTTTGCTTTTGCTCCATCAATAAATTCCTTCATATTTTTCGTTGCTGTCTGTGGTACGCCCGCAGGATATCGGCTTGCCCTAGCTGAAGTGTTAGTCGTAGCCTCTGATTCCTGCGCTTCCGCTAAATGGAAAACAAAAGGAGTCAAATAGCAGCCTGACAGCGCAACAACAAACAAAAACACCAGATTTTTTTTACAAATTTTTCAAGAAATTTTCTTCTTTAATAGAGAAGAAAACCAATACAGTTGGCAACTAAAGTGATAAAACAAACTTATTGATCTTTCAATCTGAGCCAGCAACGGGTCAACGCGATGCCACTGATTCTGATAAATGCTTACTTCAATCCAACTCAGTAACATCTAAAACGCTAAATGAGCCACAGTAATAAAAGAAAGATGTAGATATAAAACTTAATTAAAAAAGCTGATTGACTAGTGATCCGAGAACCTGAATGACATGTTTTGGATTGGAACAGTATTCGCGGACACCAGTACTGAACAGTTTCATAGCATCTTGTAAACGTCCCATGTGAACTTGGTGCTGGAAAAGTTCGTCCATCGCTCGTCGTGTCGATTCCTAAAAAATTTGAGTCTTTTGAAAAACTAAAACAATAAGCTGTCAGCTGGCGTAAAAACGAGCCCAACTCTCAAAGTAAAGAGCTTTTGAAAAGGAAATAATTTAAAAAATTCGCTCTTTTTCGTAAAACACTAACCTTAACTCCCTCTTCCTTCTGTCTTTTAAACTCAGAAAATAGAGCGTCAAATCGAGTATTTGCTTTAGCAGTAGTTGTCTCTATCCACTGTGCATCACGCTGTAAAGTTGAAACGCTTTGAGATCCGCTTCCAAAGCCAGAGTCTCGATCTACAGGACCTGGGGCTCTAGTTAGTTCGTCACTATTACCATGTTCTTCGGAAGAAAACCCGCTTGCTCGATTGTCTTCTAGCTTTTTAAAAACCAAAGCGTACGAAGAGACATCAGAAGTGTTCTAAACATATTATATTCTTAGAAAATAAGCTAACCTTTCAGGCTTCACTTTTCGTTACTCTCTATTTTTGTTAAAAAAGGAAATAATCTAAAGCATGTCAACTGCAGATCGAACAAATCCAAAAAGCCACTAGAGTTGCATTTTACAAAAAAAAAGAAAAGACCAGTTAAAAAGTAATCACCTGCACAATATAATCGAGCACCATTGCTAAAGCTTCCATCTTCATGGGAGGACACATATCAGCAATAAAAAACAATCTATTTATCAAACCGTAACCTAAAAATCGGCTTCGAAAACTTCATCCTAAGTGGATGAAAAAGCCACATCTTTTATAAAAGCTATATTACCTTCTAAATCAAGATAATGTTCATCAAAATTGAAAATTTAAAATAAAACCTTCGTACGTAGAAGCAATACTGTCCAGGTCTACAGGAGCGCTGTTAACTACTTGTACTGACGGGTTAAATGGAGCAGCGTCATCTAAAAAAACGATGAAGCATACACAGAACTGTGAAGAGGACAGCTCCTAATGCATTACAAACTCTAATAACAGTAACGATTAGCTTTTCACGAAGGTAGAAATCTCATTAGAAATAAAGCCGCCAAAAAACGATCATTTCATATAACACGTAAAAATTGTTGCAGTATTTAAATGAATTTTTTTTAAATCCCACTCACTTTCCTGATGCGACGCAACCGGTAATGTCTCGCTAATTCCTGCAAAGTCATCGTCAATCTCATTCGCATTGCCAGCTTCAAAACCGTTTTCATCAGCCGGTTCTTCGACAGCATGAGTATCCATAATTTCATCGGGGTCAGGTACTGACATGGTTACAGTTCCGAAACGATTAACAAACTAACGAAAACAATAAACCACCCTTCAGTCCTGTATCCTAGAAAATTAGGTCATTTATTCACTTGATCAGCTGTTTTCTTTAACTATTCTTTAACTATTCAAATATTTGACCAAATACTGTTAAACTGAGCAGTAAAGTTTATATTCCATCTAAGCTTCAGTGAACTGAAATAATCTGATTAACAACAGGAACCTTTTCGTCTGTCAAGTTCCATAATATTAAAGAAAAAAGCCTGGTCTTGCCAAAATTTCTGGGAGTCCAGGTTCTTAAATCCCCTATACCTTCAATTAACTTTCAATGACTACTTTGGGTTACTAATACAAAAGCTCCTTCAGGTAAGGTATTAGTTTGAGCTGAGTAAATACTGAGAAGGAAAGCTGACATTTGAATACCCCTTTTCGGTACCCTAAAAATGTCATTTGGCTGTCAAACACTGTACTTTTTTGACTTTCCAAAAACCTCAAGTTGCGTATTTTACAACTGGGTAAAAATCTTGTCGAGATTTCCCAGTGGTCTTTTAGAAGAAAACTGCAAATCCCCCGTTTTTTTTTTAACCATAAAGACAAAGCTGCGATAGTCCATTTAAAAAAATCTAATTTTGAAGACAATAAAAGCTGATAAAATTGTTGACTTCCGTTGTTAATTAAGGCAATTTTTCGCTAAACTTTTGTTGTTTTTAGAGTATTACAAATTATTGAAGAGAATGAGGAACAACGATAAGGAACGCCAAAAAAGGCTATATTGAAAAATATTCAAGAATTTGATTACAACTTTTAGAGGGATCTATTTAGTGACATGTATTCCAAGAAAGCGCACAATCCAGACCTTTTCAAACAGACCAAACAAGTACCATTTTATAACAAAAGAAAAAGCTTCAGGATCTATTGAATAAGATGAGAATCAAAGTATTGACTTGGTTTCCAAACAGTTGCTAATTCAGGATTAACATATAGCAGTCGATAACCAGCAGGATAATAAGTTAAGATACATAGCAAGAAAACTGATGGAGAAGTCGAAGAATCGGAAGAACCTGCGGCGGCTGGAGTATAGCCAGTCCCGTCAGTATTTTCTGTTGTATCGTTGTGGACTTTTGCCAACATAAAAAATCCTTTTCTGTGCAAAAGTGGATCAGCAAATTTTGACGTATAGACACACTCATTTTCAATCCTAATCTTCCTTTTGATTCTTGGAACAGGGGAAATCTAGAGATTGTAAAGTATCTGTGCGGCTCAGGACACTTTTGTTACCTTTCGGGTCCTAGAGTACTGGAGACTGGGGTCCAATATAATTTTTTTGTATTTGCTTTATAATGCGTTTGGAGTGGCAATTCGTTTTTTTAATGCCTGTCGCTAGTCACGTTCTTAAGTGATTAACCAGAATAAAGTGCAAGGTTTTTTCGCGCGAAAACGTCATCGTCTTCACCGGATAGTTGGAGGGACCCGTAATGTACAGCTCAAAATAATTTAATATTTTTCTGAATCCACATGACGTTTTCTCTCTAACTGTCAAAAGAATCTAAAACTTTACTAGTTTCCGAAAAATAAAATGACTAATTTCAGAGAACCATTGTTCAACTGTTCAGTCACTCTGGCGTTAGAGAGGCAGAACCTTTTCATCCTAGAAAATATCTCGTGCTATGCGTCGCTCGTGTTTTTGCTGAACTGTGTCTTCATACTGATAGCCGATAGTTCTTTGCTTTTGTCGGTGTGGGTCTCGCATACAAATGCTGTGCTTATTATTTCAAAATTTAGCAGCGCACTCCATGAGCATCCAAAAAGTATTAGGTGGTCCTGAATATACATTGCTGAACTTCTAAAACATTCGGGAAAATTGAATTCAGATGGTGAGAAAGAAATCCGAAAAAATTGCTGGCAACTCGCCAAGCAAAGATTTTTTGTTTACCATAAAGGTTGACCGGGCAGTTAAAGATGGCACTGAAGTATCCAACAATCATAGCGAAACTTGTGGACTGATTATGGAGCTTGGTGAAGCTACTGCAGTTAAACATGGACATCCCTGTATATGCTTTTTCTATCATTCACCTCATTTCTTCTGTATGTAAGGTTGTTGATCTCGCTAGGTTCAAACATCGTTAAAGACAGTAATAACAAATCAAGCTAATCGTTCAACTCGTCAGCAGCTGACATTGCACGCTTCAGACACGATCAAAAATGATAACTAGAACAGAATAAACCACAACTTAAGAATCACACCGAAGAAGAAAGTGGGTCTGATCCTGATCGAATTAGAAAAGTACATTTCTCAGATCAGCTCTTTTTATTTATCGTCAAAAGTCCCTCCAACATGAGGTGTGGCGTTCCTGTTCAAAACAAATACTTGTTAAATTATAAAAGCCGTTTTTTTTTGCTGTCGTATACCCAGTTCCAAAAAGCATTGAATTTGCAGTTGTTTTGCACACCCCATAGTCATGATAATTTCACATCTGAAAATTCTAGTGCACAAATTTTGTTTCAACTCTTATGGCGTTTCACAACTTCAATTTCACGATAGCGTATGATTTTGGATAGTTGCTATTTTTGTTGCTAATCTTAGAAATATGAGAAATTTAATCTACTTCCGATGCAGTCCTCCTGTTCGCAGTTTTCACTTGTCTTGACCACGTTACAGTCTGTCCAAAAATACCTATGTATTCACAACGTTCTAGCTGTTTACATCGAACTCAGTGATTGCTAAGATGATTGAAGAAGTTTTAAGAGAGACTCCTAAACAAAGAGGCTTTTAAAATCATTTTTAATTGACAGCTTTGTCTCCATCGTTTTTACTGAAGAGTGTAGCTTCCGGAAAAAAAGTAACAGAAATTTAGGAAAGCAAGGGGTAAATCCTAAAACGGATTGAATTCAAAGCCGTACAATTACAAAACACGGTTACTACCCCTCAGATTACTACACCATTGACTATGACGTTGCGAAGTACTATAAGAGTCGGAAAGAAACTTTGTACTGAGTTGTTAGAAAATTAGGAAGCAGTACAGAGACTACTCAAAAATTGTCCCGCATAAGTCATATGAGGTCGAGAATCTTATTGACAAAAGGTGAAACTAAACTACTTTTGAAAAAGAAAGTGTACAGAAGTGGGTACACTTAAAGGCGATAACATTCATACATTAATTTGCACGATTGCTCGACAGACATTTTCCTTTAAATGTATAGGATTTGTAATAAAGGCTCGATTTCAAATTAACAAGTCTAAATGTAGACGACCAGCCAAATTCTGGAAAATTGCAATAACTTTAAAAATTTCCTATTTTCCCTTGTTTTTTGGATCTTCAGTTCGCAGCGCTTTGCAGCGACCTGCGAACGATTCCTATGCTTTTTTCCAAAAGAAAGTCGAGTTCTTTTAGTTAGCTCCTCTCAGTATTTGTTCTGCTCCGACAGTTGTAACTTTCGTCTTTAGATTTCTAGAGAAGTTAAGAAAAAGTATTTGACGGGTTAACCTCATACACATGGGAATTGTGGAATCTCAGTAAGAAACCTGACAGTTTTGGTGAGAATTGAGGCGGAATTCCTGCACATTGTGTAGAGTTTCAAGAAGGAGGCAGAACCGATATTTTGAAAGATCAGTCTTTACCGTTACATTCTTATCAATCCTTTGTAATCAGAGGGTACTGGCCACATAAAAACAAATATAAATTTGCTTTCAGTGGCATGCCTTTTCACTTGGCGTCGCGCTAGCTGAATCAAAACTTTCTTAAATCGGCAAAAACTTAACGATTTCTGTTTGAAACGGCTAGATTTAATAACTTATGGTTGAGTTTAAGCTTTGCAAAATTAAGCATTGGTAGATTTTTCTGAAACTGCGTATTATCTACATTTTAATATTCAATGGAATCTCAGTTTTTTTAAGCTAACTGAAAAAAATAATGTGAAACTTTCGCGTCGAAATTAAGTTTAAGAAGAATTAACTATGGCATATTCGGCGCAAAATTTTCGCTTCCATTAAGACAATAATTTAAAATTGGGACTGAAGTAAAGGAATTAGCTGTAACGCGAATATCAAAAGGAAGCAATGGAGAAATTTTAGTTGCAAAGGACCATTTGACATATTACACCGCGGAAAAGTATACATACAGTCTTTTATTTTTAAATACAGTGTGTCTCTCCATAAAATCTAAATCTCACAAGAGTATTATCTTGTTGAAAGTGAAGAACGCAACAAAAATTTACATTGAAATAACAAGTTGTTTTTAAACAAAAAGTTTTATAGATAGAAAAGTTTGCAAAAAAAAAA